TGTGACCTCCTCTTTGAAGTGAAGCAGATCACGAGTCTGCCTGACCACCCAGGCGTAATGAAGTAAGTGAAAGCCCAACAGTGAGAAGCAAAACCACCATCTGGATTTGCCATGACATGTGATCAAGATGAAGTCAAACGGTGAGTTATAATGTTCTGCCTAGGGAGTCTGACATGTCTGTACCTGTCATATTTGTTCGGTTATGTGATAAAAGCTTATTTGCACACCTACAAATGAGCACACAGAGAGACCACCCTCATCAGCTGTAGTGATGGCAAACCTGTGAGCCTGACTTCACGTGTAATAGGAGGATGTCTTTTGTAGTCAAATGTACTTTGTGACAGCGTGTACCATTATGGTCAAGAGAAGTAGCCTCAGTTTGGGTTACTGAAATAATAAAACATCTTAAAGAACTCTCTTTTTAACTTTATTTTTTTTTTTTTAAGATTATCTATCTCTTTACTGGAGATACAATGTGGATAGTTGTATGCGCGTAGATTATAAACGACTATATAATCTATAATATATAAATATAATATAATATATAAATATAATATATATAATATAAATATAATATTTGTTTATATAATAATATATAAACAAAATAGCATTTACCTATATTTAATCTCTCCTAAATACCTTCTTTGATTAGGACATGTAATTGTAGCTGCTGCTTGAAGTACAAGAAAACTCAAAAATATCTCCAGTTAATGTCTTACTTGATACTAGAACAGTTTGCTTTTAAAAATTGTTTAACAAAGTGTAGCAGCTAGCTGATGACTTTGTTATATTTGCATCTCATTCTCACCTGGATTAATAACATCTACTTTCACATTTCCTAGTCATGACAGTTAAATACTGTTTCACAACATAAACAAACAACAAGTACAAAATTCTCACATTGCTGAGCATAAAAAGTATTTTTTTTTTTTACCTTGTTTCTCCTATGCTTTTGCTTCTGAGCAGGCTTTCAGTTGCTTCCATTGTTTTGACACAGGATCAATCCAGTATGAAGCTGAGCTGTGTATTTTGTTCTCTTGTTGCTTAATTTTGCTGCTAAAACCTAAGTACTTGAATTCACTTTCCTTTCCCTGTCACCTTGTGCTGTGGCTCTCCTCCTGCTAAAGGTCAGGGTAACTGCCTTCAGAAGCATGTTTTACTCCACTAATTCTTGAGAGTGACACAGGGAAAGCAGTGAAGTCAGCTTGTGTCAGCCACCCACATCACACGTCACACGTGTATTTGAATGAGGAGTAAGGAAAGCAAAGCTGTTGCTGAATAATGTGGCTTTTGGCAAGGCTTTCTGCTAAACTTTCTGATTGCAGCTGAATGCCACTTTGTTCACTACCTTTCAAGGAGCTTACAGAGGACTAACATGCTATTTTAAAGCTCTGAATATTTTCAAGTCCCATAAAGAAATCGGGGAGGGCTACCTCTGGGGAGACTTGAGATCAATTGGAATTTAGTTGCCCTGGATTAAAATCCCATCTGTGAAATCATCCGATGCAAATTATGTCTCAGCATTGATCCAAGCAGAAATTGATAACAAAGTTACAAGTGATTTTAGTGATATCATTCTACTGCCAAGCTACATTTGTAAGTTAGAGAGAGGGTGGTTGCCAGCCACACCAGGTTTCCAGCCGTAAGGGAGCATACCAGCATCAAGGAGGAGCAACAGTAATGGCAGGGAGTTTTGTACTTGATGCAGGGGCAAAACAGTCAACACCACTAAAGCCAGGAAACAAAAATGCAAATTAGTGGATTCTTACTGATTGAAAAAGGGAACTCACAGACATAGGAATTTTTAAACATTTATTTTCTTGCTTTCCTTATTTTTGCATGTTTGTTGAATTTAAGTCCCATGTCTGTTTCATTCTTCTATTTTCATAGAAGAACTGCACACCTTCCTACCAAGCTAAACTTTCATAAAAGGGCACAGGGAAAAAGACCTAAGGTAAGGGCTTAGTATTTTCTGTTACAGAAAATGAGCATACTTCATGCAATATGACCAGCAAGTCTGGTGATACTCACCTATCTAAGGAGAAAACAGACTGACGCACATGGCATTCTGCTTTTGCACAGGGATTTGGAACTTTATTTTTTAGCATAGTCTAGCTGGAATTAAATCAATCTGAATCACAGGAAGCTTTTCATAACTAGAAAACTTTGGGAAGAGGAAGGAAGAGTCTCGCCCTATATGTGTGTTGGTAGGCGTGTATCATGCTTTCATAAGCAAGAAATTTTTTCAAATGAATGAAAGATCAGATTCTAAGCAGAAAGATTCAGCACCACTAGTCAGTATTCAGTATATTGGCAATACCAAGGGGCAGGAGAGGAGTCTGGAGGGAAGCTGAGTCTGGGAAGGAGGAGTGGTATTTTTCCCTAAGTATTTTAGTAATCACATTTTTGCTTATTTCTTTCCCAATATCCAAACCAGTAATTAAATATTTATGCCACTTGGCACAAAATTAAGTTAAATTCCTCAAGCCTGTTTTGCCCATGATGGACCTTGGCAAGTGATTTCCTTGTCCTTATCTCCACCTACAAGCCTTCTTGCTCCTGTTCACGGTTTTTTCTCTGCTGTCCCGCTGGGACAGGGGCAGTGAGCAAGCAGCTGTGTGGGTACATGGCTGTTGGCTGGGGTCAACCCACTGTCATCATCCGGGTAAGTGCAACAGGAGCAGAAGATTCCCAGAAACGAGCTTACTGAAATACATTTTCTGATGCTTGGAAGCCATCTACTGGATAGGTAAAAAGAACACAACATCCTTAATCAGCAAAAAGCTAAATTTGATAACTCAAAAGATGATAATTTCCAGGATTTGTAGCACACAGTGTATGAAAATCCCCAAAATTACTGCCATAGGGAAAGCATTCAGCTTAACATGCAACTTGGCTCAAAGGATACAGAGTTATTAGCAGCTACTTGCTATAGACTTCAGCAGAAGCTGTTCACAAACCTGCACAAGTGGATTCAAATTAGTTGCCACCACATTTCAATAAATAGTTGATTCATGGCCAAAAGCTCTGCTAACGTGGAAAAAGCTCTGGTTAAATGTCCTCTGAGGCATTACATTTTGAATTATGCAAAACTGGAGTATACTGGAAGATGAAAACATCCAGCACCTGCCCGACTTCTTTCATATTTCCAATTTTTCCAAGCAGTGAAGCAGGAATGAATGCCATGAGTTAAGGCAGCAGCACACCTCCAACCCCAGCTGCCACACCAGGCTCTTCTCCTAAATGATTTTAAAAGTTCCTTGAAGAACCATGTCCTGTCCTCTCACAAAACCAGGTCCAAACTGAAAGGAGCTTCTCTTCTCAAAGGGAGGACTTCAAACTCTATGAAATTCACCAGCCAAGACAAACAGCTACACCTGGTGTTTTTAAATTTGCTTCAACTTAGTAGACACAATCTAAACATGAAGCTATCTAGAGATGAATTACAAGGGTAGAAAAATCCAGGTTGCCAATATTGCACTATGGAGTTAACATGAAATATGGACTTTTCATACATTTTTGATACGCAGTTGTTTAAAAAGATGTCACTTAGAAACAAGATTTTTCTTACCCACTGTTTTAACAAAGATACACACTGCTTCAGCTACTTGCTTAATATTCTTAACATACATTTTCAAGTTTTGGGAAGAATCCAAACCCGCCCCACCACTGAGGTTTCAATTCACTTTGTCTTGCTAAGCCAGCAGTGATGAATTATAAACACATTTTGATGTGTCACTTTTAGTTTTCTACAATACTGCAGTTAAAAAAAAGGGTAATGTCTCTCCACTTGTGGCTGTCATTCTCACCACAAGCTTAAATGTTTTTGCCTTGACTTAAGTCATTCTGATCTGATCTTCTCTCTCATACTCATAACTGAGACTTTGAGGGCTCATTCAGTGCAAAGATCCACGTCTTGTTACCCTATTTTCTTCATGGGGAAAGATGAAACTAAGTGCAAAAAAGCTAGAAAAAATATTTTAAAACTTTTTTTTTTTTTAAACCAAACAAGTTGACCTTGATAGGTTTCTGAAAGATTAATGATCAAATTATTTCACAAACAATTGATTCTGAATCACATTGATCTGAGCTTCCTGTTTAGGTGTATGGTAAGCGGTTCATAGCTCCAAGGTTTGGACCTGCAATAGAAGACCATTTATTCCAATGACAACTAGATAAAATAAAAAATACATACATCATATACAAAGGATCTACATGAGACATCTGTACGCTGTGTTCAGTGGCTTGTCATTCCCAAATTTGTCCCATTTCTACAAATTACAAAGGAAAGTTATTGGACACGAGTGATTTTAAAAAGGCAGGCTTCCAAAGTTCAAGAGCAGAAAGGCAGTAATCGCAGGTTCAAAAGATGAAAAGGGCTCTTTGATCACTTGACATCAGTAGAACAGAGCTCTCCGGTACATGTCCTAGTGCTCAGCTTTCTGGATTCCTACAGCAAGCTTGTCTGTAACCACTGATTCAGGATGCTTTTTTCATATATACATATTTACATTTATATACTTATATATACATATGTATAAAATACATATTTCTTTGCATATATAATATTTGCTTTATTCGTAGTTAAAATGAATTATCAGAAAACACGATTAAAGTCAGTGCAACTCCAAACCAGTCTCAATGTTTCTCAGAGTGCTTTCTGAATTCACCTGTAAGACTTGCAAATATCCTCACCTCAAATTTCTCCTCCTTCACGTCTCACTTCTGCTGTTGTCATGATTCAGCCAGCACCACTGACATCTGATGTTTCAGCACATCCTTTCTGGATTCCTGGAACAATTTAACTCCAGACATCTAGACCAGGTCTTTGTATGCTGGTCACTGCCAGCTCCCATTACAGTCAGCGAGGAGGAACCATGTTCTTCTGGAGATCCATTCCTCTGATTACCTGCCTGTAACTCCTCTGCCATTGCCCTCCACTGACCTTGCAGAGTGCCCAAGGTGACTTAGATCACATGTAAACATCCAAACCGGTGAGATAAATTTCACTGTCTTTGTTAGATCTTTATTAATTCCCTTCTATTAAGGTGCTTGACATTCCATAAACATACTTTTTGACAATTTAACACTTTCAGCTATCATGCTTTTGCATTGCTATTCATAAATAATAGCAAACAATTAAAAAGCTCTCTATAAAAATATACAGTTTTTGGTATGTCTGCTTGTACCAAAACAAGAATAAAATATAGATAAGTTTATTGATAGGTGCAAGTGTTATACATACTGTTGATGAAAAATAGACAACAATACCCTGCGCCCAGGCATTATAACATTTCTCCACATGGAGCAGAACCAAATCTGAAGTGGGCAAAAAAGTGAAAATTTTCAGTGAAAAAAGTTGGTTTTGTTTTGTTGCCTGTTTGTTTTAAATAAATACTCGTCATGCAGATCTTGATGAGATGAAATTCTTATACATATCAAGCCTTTTTAATTAAAAGCTACAAATTACCGAACAAAACTGAACTTGGAAAAGCTTCCAAGAAACAAACCTGCTATAATACAGCACTCAAGTGTTTGTATTTATAAATATATATATATACACACATATACATACAAATAAAAGGACTGTAAGGGATAAAATTTCATTGCTTTGCACAAAGGAGCAGAGTAATCTTTGTGCACTCCAAACATTACCATTTAGTCACCACATTCAACTGCTGTAGCTCCTGCAGGCCCAGATGACATTTTTGTATTCTTAATTACTACTAAAGGGGCTTAATTACTACTAGGAGCTTCTATTTTCCCCTGCAAGAATTAAAACCAAACCTACCTACTACTGTACCTCTAGGACAAGGAAAGAGGAGACTTCGTTTCTTAATAACCCCCACTTTCTCAATATAACTGATACCTATGGGATTTTAAATATATTTCACAAATATTTTGCAAGATCTACTATATCATTTTAATATTTGTTCAAGTTAAGGTCCCTCATTTTAGAAATAATCAAAACACAATTGAGTCTTTTAGAAAATAGAATCAGGCAAAAGGTCCCATATAATAAAGTAAATCTCATTTAGTTGTCCCAGACAGATTTCTTCAAACACTGGAGTCTAAACTTTCATCTGGCACTATATTCTTGTGTGTGTGGTTTTCTCTCATTCTTTGTAACACTTCTTCAGTTTCAGATACCAGTACTGAGTGCAGACAGCTTAATTTCAAGTGTCTGAAGTAACTGCAGTCTGCAGCTGTTTGCTCTTTCTGTCTCTGGAGGGAGACATTGCAGCAACTGTGAAAGCTGGATGTGATCTGAATTAGCTACACAGTGGCCCCAGTTTACAGCCTCACATGCTAGGTAGCCTCAAATCAGTGCAAGTTTCATGTCCTGGAGCATAAACTCAGGACCCCAGGAGTTGCCTCCTGTGTGATTCATCCATCCTAGCTAGACAGAAAAGGGAGAGGCAGGAATTGCTTTAGGAACTTCAGTTTAAGCCATCCAGGTATTGTCTGAGTAAACCACTAGCCTAACAAAGGAAAACATGATGTTACCTTTTCTTTCTTGGTCATGCAGTCTAATCTTTTGTGTCCAACAACCCTCAAATATGACATTTTCCCCCAGACAGTATATAACAATACATTTTATGCTTCTTTATGGCTGACTGGCAGTGAATTGAGCTGTAATGGGAAAGCAAAGTGTTTACACAATAAACCCACAAATCATTTTGTAATCATCAACATGCATATCTGCTGCCAATTAGAAACCTAATTCACTGGAACCGGTTACTCACTATATTGTACAAAGAAAAAAACAAAACACAGTCATTGGACCTTCACGTTCTGATAACAGGGATGTGATAATAGCGGTCATCCTCAGTCAGGAGGGAAATCTCATTCCATTCCCTTCGGTACTCATCTGGATAGTTTACCTGAAATTCTTCAGTATTAAACCTATGCAGTCTGTAAACTCTAATCTTCACTTCAAGTAAGTATCCAAGAAGAAATATTTCAACCTAAAAATAAAACAGGCCTGTAAGACATGTATTTCTAGACCTGGATTATTCTTCATTTCAGTTTTCTAAGTTAAAGCAAATCACCTTGCTTATTTCAAAACAGCAGACAAAGAATTAAGAGGGTCCTTCTGTAACTGAAGTAAGGAAATTAAAAGATTGAGGATATTGTCAGTGTCCCAACCATCTTTCCACTGCTCTTTTGCATGCTAGGGTACTCTGGCTAACACATGCAGTTTTGGAAGCATGTCTTCCACCTTACACAATATATAATCTGCTCCCAAACTCGGCTCACACACCTTACTGGGGAGCAAGAAGGGACTAACATTAGAAGATTGATACACCTTAGAAAATGGGAAGCCTGCCACCTTGTGATCACTTGTTAGCGAAATAAAATGGTGAAAGGAAACGTTTCTTTGTACTTCGTGCATATTACACTTGAGAACTGGCTCTTCATCCACACTACTTGCAAAACCTGCCTTAATCTGGAAAAATGCTTTGGAAAAAACTCACATCCTTGGGCATAGCCAGACAGAGCATAACATCTGTAGCTATATAAAACTGAAGAGGAATTCAACATCTAATGATTGACTTGATAACTGGAACTGATTACGAGAAATAATTTCACCCATTGTAAAGCTCTAAACTATGTGCTCACAGTACTTATTTCTGGCCCAGCAAGAAAGCTGCCAACCCTGTTTTACTTTATTGCATGTTTGTTTGGTTTTTCAATCTCCTTGGGAGATAAATGCCTGTCCACAGTGCACTTCCCTACGTCCCAAAGAAAAAAACAGGCCAATTATCACAGATAATGTACAATATATTCCATCTCTGATGTCTTTAGGTGAATAATTGTGATTTGTTTTTCATTTTTATCATTACCTGGTCTAGGCAACCAGAGTCACCTATGGAGTTCAGATGATTCATCATGAAACTCAAAGGGTCAGACGAAGTATCCCGAGCAAGGAGGCGGCTAAAAAGATGGGGTATGGGTTCTTCCCTGTTCTTTATCTGCTCATAGGCTTCAACAACTTCATAAAGCATGATGAATTTTATGGCCTCATATAGTCTGTGCTCCTTGCTCTCATCAGAAAAGAGGGTGTTACACAAGTTTCCTCTTTCTTCGTGATCTTTAGTACCACTTATTTCAATCCACTAGAAAGCACACAGAAGAACAATAATTACAGGTTCTGCAGTGAGATTTCAAACCTTACTCATTTCATTTTCCATTTATCCAGCTGAACCTATTTTCTACATAGAGCTCCAAGCATCTGTATGCTAATGATAGGCTACGAGAAAGCAAATGCAATTCCCCCATACAAAAGCCACTCGCTGTCACACTAGAAAATCCAGCTGTGACTGTAAGTAAAGAGTCTGTAAGGCATGTAACTACTAAAAGTACCCGAGAAAGTTGTAGAAAATCTGCGTGGGTCCATCAAACACACACTAAACCATAAGCAAAGGTTAGCTTAAGTGATGTCTCCTGGCCTGATTTTAACTTACAGCTTTCAAAATTTAGTTATTTTCCTACAGTATCCTTTATATTAAAGTTATGCTAGCTTAAATTCTTTAGATGCCACACCTAACTCAGAAGCAGATCAGTTAAAATGAATTTATATAAACTGGACATGCCAGCATGCCATTATGAACTATACACATCTGTATGTCTTCAGTGTTCAGCTTCATGAGGTCACGTAGGGCTATGGGTAGGTCTGCTGTTTTCAATGGGTAGGAATTTCTTACAGAATCACAGTATCATCTAGGTTGGAAGAGACCTCCAAGATCACCTAGTCCAACCTCTGACCTCCTTAACTCCGTGTTACTCTAGAGGGGTCAAAAACCAGTGCTCACACCTAGAAAAGGGGTTGGCCAGGAAACTGATAACATTGGACAGGACACCAAATCAGAAAGCTTGAAGCAGCTGCCCTGGGCTTAGCCAACAACTGGGCACTCTGCTGCATCTTGGTCAACTGAGGCAAGTCTGGAGTGAGGAGGCTCAATCTCCTGAGTTCAGGGTGCAAAGCAAACCTCTTGAAAAAGCATGCTGGTGTGTGACTAATATTCCTCAAAAGTCTTCATATATTTCTGGCAGAGCCCACTCTCCCTGCATCTTCAAACCATAGCCACAGCTGAACTGCACCTATAAGCTTTGGACACCAAGAATCATTTACTAAATCCGGTTATTCAAGCTCCATGAAAACACACCAGATTTCTTGTAAATCCTTGTCCTTTCCCTGCTAAATAATGAAGCAAGCAGACAGTTAAATGCAACAGAACCCTAACTCCCAGTGCTGGCTCTTTTCACACCTCTAAATGTACCATAAAAATTGGTTTGTGAAAATAAGTGAAAATTCATCCCACTGGCCAAACTGCATCTTTTTTAACAACAGAACTGGGAGTGAGACCTCACGGTCAGTAACAGCATACTGCATAATAAAGCTGCTCTGCAGCAATTTGTAAACTGTATGGATTTGTTTACCATGCTGATTTGAAATGTTTTTTCTGAACAAGCATCCAGCTAAATGCTTAGTGCTATGGAAATAACACGGACTTACAAAGAACCACAAGAAGATAAAAAAAACAAAAGCCAAAAAACTAATACAAAGAGCAACTAGGACAAATACAAAGAGCAACTAGGACAAGATGGTAACTGCACAAGAACCACGAGACATGTCCCAAGAAGACGGGCAGCTGACACTGCAGGCAAGAGACAAGGACTGGTTCTCAGTTTTAATTCCCTCTTTTTATTTCTGCTTCTATAGCTAAATAAGTCTAGTTAAGATTTTGTTGTTTTAAAATGGTTGGTTACTATCACTGATAGTGTTTAAAACTACACAGTTGTTGCTGTAACTAGGTGCTTTGGCTTACAGAGAGAACTTATAATAGAACTCGATAAATAAAACATTTAATCGAGAGGGGAACAGAGGAAAGTCAAGATAGAGAAGAAAATGCACCATTTGTTTGTTCCATCCAATTTGGGGAGGGAATCTAGCAGGATATCCTATAGCACGTAGTTATTTTTATTGAAATTATGAGGTATTGCATGAACCACTTGATGACAAGGGCAGCTAACCATGCAGTAAAAGCCGTGGATAGGATGGCCTTTCTAACTTGCTGGGAGATCCCAACTACTTAGCTTGCAGAATCCCCCAGAAACTGAATTCCTCTGCAGGAGAAATGGTGGCCTGCCCAGTAGCTGAGCTCTCTGAACCTGGGAAGCAGACTGCCACAGAAATAGGTAGTGAAGATCCCTAATTCAGCCTCAGTCCACTTCTCAGTGCTTTTATGCCTCCCGAGCACCTCCTAAATACTCACATTTGTCTTTAATGTTTCCATGCATTTGCGTAATTTTCCAAAAGCATTGGGACCTGTATATCTTTCTGGACCAAAACTGTACTGCTGAATCCAGTTGCAACCTTGAGAATACAAAAGCTTTTCAGGGAGCTGGAAGAAAAAAAAAAGAACAAGAAAATTAATTAAGTAGAGATCATAACCATAACAAGAAGTAGAACATAAAGTTATATAAACTTGCCTACAGAGATTGCAACACATTTTAGTTTATGATGTGGTTCTACCCTCTGGTTGTACAGCTCAAACAGAAAATAGAAATAGGCTTCAGAACAAATCAAATGTTAAGGAAGTTCCACTTGACTGCCAAGTCCTTATGAAACTTTTAAAACAATGCCAGCCAAAAAAGAAGAAAATATGTTCTCAGCAAAATATATAGCCCACACTCCAGGAAAGCTGGATACATCCAAACTCAGTAAGGTTTCTAGGATTCCAGACACTTTCCAGCTGGCAGATGTGCCCCCACAGGCAGCAGCTATCGATCCCACCTCCCCACTGCTGTCTCTTGACAGAGCTCCTGGAACCCAGTGCAGAGTTCACACTGCTCCAGCAACACGCTGAGCAGCTACACTTGACGCTTTCTTCAGCTGTGCTCCCAAACGAGCTACTGGATTTTACATGGATGTGAATGAGGGAGAGTCAAGTCCTTTAGTGTTAAGGGAGTGACATCTAGCAGAGCAGCAGAAATATTTATCCTACTTTTTTTTTTTTTTTTTTTAAATCTCATGTTCATGCAACTATATTTAGATCAGGGACTTCTTTTCATAGTTCAAAGAATTTGAAAAAGTTCTCTTTAAATTCCAATAATAATTTTCCTCTACTACCACAGCATACATTTCCCTTTTACCATTGAACAAAGCTTCCTTCTGCATTGCAAGGGCCCCAAGATCCTGTTGATTTAGGAACTTAATTTTACCTTTAAGATATCCCTCTCCCTCATCCATGACGGAAAAGGAATGCCTTGGCTGAGTATTTGAAAAAGTACTGCTCTTAGCACGCAATAGTTGTCCTTCTTGACCTGTCGCAGATACTTGATATGACAGTTCCAAAACAATTCATTATATGCCTAAAAAAGACCAACAAGAAATGTAGCAATAAACATTTTAGAACTTGGATCAAACCCATGTTCAACTGGAGCCCAATTCCAAACTATTCGTAAGAGGGAACTAGGGGAAAGAGAGGCTATATTTATAAGTTTTATATACACAAAAGTGGCCTAACATCATCGTTTTTGTAAACACCTTTAAACTGGCACTGCCCCTTAAAAGGGATTCTGCACTGGTGATGACTTAAGGCTAAGGAAGAGTGGCAGCAACCCCAGCCAGTACCACTTCTTGGCTGCGCAGCCTCCCCAACCCTTCCTTTGCACCAGCTGAGATAATTGTAGCCTAACAAATTCTTCCTGCAGGGTTAGCTCCCTGCTGCTTCGTCAGGTTCAGGTGGTTCAGAGAAGGATCGGATGAATGCCAGGGCCAGCACAAGAGGTGCACCGGGAGCACATGCTAGGAGCAGGTGTCAGCAGGGAGTCAGGCCTCTCCTTAGGTCCTTTTTAACGAGCTTCCTCATTTTTATGCAGTTTCCCTTTCTGAAGAAGGATGCAGCTGTAAGGACTGTAAGACTTGTTGGTCTTGTAAGGATTTTAAGGCAGATCCTATGCACTACTCAGGTCCAAGGCAAGGGTTGCTTCCCTTTCCTAAAGCTTCCTGAAAAACTGTCCCATGAAACAGTCGCTGGCAGCACCTTGAAGCTGAACCCCCTAGCTCTTGCCCAGGGCAGATATTCAGTATATCTCCTAACTACTGCATCTCCTGCCCCCTCTGCCTCTCTGATCTCTCTCAGCACAACTCCTTTTGTGTTCTCACCATCGTTAGATAATCAGAAATACAGCCCGGTGCCGTATTTGTGCTGAGCTGGTCTGGAATACCACAACACGAGGATGCAAGGATACAGCGTCCCAGTTAGCTGATTAACTAGGATTTGACACTAAACTTTAACAGCTTTACCACTACTCCACCACCCAGACAGCTACTTCAGCTAGAAGTGGTATGAGAAAAGTATAGCTCCAGCCCACAGTCTCCAAGCCTCCCTTGGCCACTGACACTTATCATAGTTGAAACAGCGAGCCACAAAATAGATATCTGCTCCTCTTTGCTCCTGGAGCCCCAGCCCCATCACAAATGAGGGTACTGGAGGACTGCTGCAACTGCAAGCACCTGCCAGGGCCCTTCAGAGTGCACCACGGCTCCTGGCGTGCCCCCTGCCACATTGCCTCCACCACAGGCCACCAAGATGCAGCTGCCAGCAGCCCTTTGCATGTGTGATACCTGGTGTCTTCTGTGAGCAATGCAGCTGCTGTTTCTGCCTATGGGGGTGTAAGCACACATACAACACAACCTTGTCACCTTGGCTCATAATTAAGAAGAAAACCTACTAAGCTGTGAGAAACGCCAGCTAAAATGATGCAAGGTAAGAGAAATAAAAACCCAAGGAGAAGAATAATGATTAAGAAGAATGCAGCTGGCGTCTCGGATGCAGGAGGCGCTGCCTAAGGCCAAGTTATTTGGGCTGCAGTGCCTGGGATCATATTTTCGTGCTGTTGTAATGGGAGCTCACCCCAAGCACTTACAGCCGCTGCTTGGGTGGCTGGTATCGTGGGGAAGAATTTGGAGATGTAAAACTAAAATCTGATCTGGATTGCGATCTGTTCTACTGCAGTCTTTACTTGGACTCATGCTAATGTTATCCATCTTTCTTTTCACTTAAAAAAGTGCTGCAGCAAGCTCTGGTAGTTGCAGCAGCTGCTTGTTCCGCAACTGCTCTTCTTTTCTCAGGTACCTCTCCCTCATCCGCACACAGAGATAAAATTTAAACTCTTACCTCCCTCATATGTTTGGCCTGCTTGGTTTCTCCCTTCCATTCTCTTGCACTATAGCCAAGTAGATCAACTTCTGCCAACACACTGCGATTCTCTAAATCAAGATTAAGTCAGGGATTAGTTACCTTCTCTTGTTCTGCTTTTAAGGGGCAGGGGGATTCATGAGCAGAGAATGACAACAAAAAGATTACTTATGAGTTTTCTTTGAAGGTAGTCGCTCCACCTGAAATCCAAATGAGAAAACAGGTATCAGAAAGGAGTTGTCCAAGGAAAATACTGAAACAAGCAACAGCACTGAAAATCAGCAGTCTGTGTAATAAAAACCTACCGTTTCAATAGCTGTGCTAAAAAGCCATACAGCCTTCTGCAATACCAAAAAACAGTGACGAGGAAAGACATGCTTAGCATCAGCTGTATTTTCACTTTTTGCCACATGAGACACAAGGATTGCTTGGTAGCTCTTGTCCAGGACTGCACCTCATGCCTTCCTACAACAGTGATAAAGAGAGAAAGAGAGAAAAAATAAGATCTTTTTACTGCTTAACAATACTTGTTTCTATTATTATTTTTTTTTAATTTCAAAAGGAAAAATCATCCAAGCACCGTATCATTTCAAATGAAAGCTGAAATGCCAGAGGCACAATACGTTTAGTAACTTACTTGGTTTTTCAAGTCTATAGGTTTTGGGGTGCACACCATTCATGCTTCCAAGATTTCCTCCACACAACAAGGGCTAGATATATAGCCAAAATAGAGTGGAAGGCTTCACAAGAAGACCAATACCAAAGCAACTGTTCAATGACAACAACAAAAAAAATTGTTTCAGGACGTGCTAGACCAGAGTCTTGTGCTGTCGTAACTTTGCCATTAAGTCAAGATTTTAACGACCACAGGTTCCTGGGAGTTGTAGTCTGCAAATGTGCCGTATCAGGCAATGCGTTAGCTGACTAAGCATCCTATGAATGCCACAGGAATTAAAGGAGCGTTCCTGGCTCAATTTGGGTAAGTTTAGGAGCAATTTAAAACTCAGGAGAAAGCTCCTCCCCAGGGATTTGGTAGAAAGCTCAGGAGATGATCATAAAGAGGGATCAATCACACTGTTCTTCACTGACATAAGCCAGGACAAGTTGCTGCTGATCTCCTGGTATTATTGGGAGGGTTAAACAAGGGTTGGGTACTCTTCTGTTAATCAAAAACCCTAGAATTGAGAGAGGGTAGGGAGGCTGAGGAGCTGACAAATGCAGTGTCTGCTCCCTAAGTGAGAAATGTATTCTCTGGCTGAAATCTGAGCATAGGAAATTCCCAGATTTTATGACCAACAGCTGCTGTTAGTAACTTCTTCACTGCTTTTGTACAAAATTTTAAGAAAACTTTTTTTTTTTTTTTAAGGCATCTCCAGAGAAGGCTGCAAAGATTATTCTCTAGAGAGTTCCTGAAGGGAATAATTCATTCAGCATAGTTTTATGTCAGTTGAACTCCTGCCCCTCCTGGCTGTAACAGGAAATTTAAGAGGGGCTTAAGTTTTCCAAGGAGCTTAAGCCCATGCACCGCCGACAGATATCCAGTCACAGAGTTACAGATGAAGTCAAGCCTTGGCGCTGAGATCAACAGCCACAAGTACAGTTTTATGAGCACTGCAGCGTGTAGTCGGAGCACGGCTGACATTTGGCCTTTCCCAATATTCATAAGCTTTAAGAAACTTTATTTTTAAGAAACTTTATTACAGGATGTCATACGCACGCTGTCTGGATGCAAGACCCATAACTAGTGTCTACCTTGAACAAGAGGCAGGTCAAGAGCTGTAAATGTAAAGGTGTTCATAAAGAGGTAATGGGAAAAAAATTTTGGCCACCAGTACAAATTTACACAAAACCCGTACTGCTGCAAACACCATTTATACAAGACAGACCCCTTATCTACTACTCACGTGCTGCACTAACAAGTGCTTAGCTGGCACAGCCTGTACACGCCGAGGGGGAAAAGTGCAGACACAAACCATGCACACAACCGAAAAGACCAAAAATCCAAAGCTGTAGGAAGTGTTTATGACTGGTCCCAAGTAACAGACAGCAAAACATCAGCTGCATGGGTCAGAAATGTCACAGCTCATGGAAACACTGGGATACTCCCACTTTGAGCACACACTGCTGATGGAAACCAAGAGATGCCTTCTTAATAAGCACCCAAACTGCTACCAAGAGAACAAAAACAGAACTCGTAGAAGACAACGCTCCCAGCAGGATCATGTCACAGCAATATATTCTCTCTGCTTCTTTAGGATAGAAGTTTCAGCATTGAAAAACCTCATTCAGCCATAAATACCTGAACCTCTTGCTGACTGAAACCTTAAAAGCTTACAGATGTTATTGGGTCCACACAGTCAACCAGAACTTGTGAACAGCAACTTCAACATACGGTACCTAAAGGAAGATGCAGCAGCCTTTCATTTCAGTATCTAAAATGAGTGTATGCTCCCTCTTTTGATTTTGAACAAGCTGGTACCATAAAAAGTGGAACCGGTTTGTGTGTTCAGCTGACACGCTCTGCTTCATTGGGTACTAGAGATGTATGTGAACAACCCACTAGCATGTAAAAATTCTTCCTCACCTTCCTTTACAGGAAAAAAAGATGAGAGAAGTGCATCCGCATGAGCTCTTACATTAAAACAAGCAAGCTAAGCTTTGGATGGCATTAAACCTGCAAAAAGAACCAACCTGTTGTTGGGAGTCCAACAAAACCCCTTTCGAGGCACAGGGTTAGCAAGTGCAAGAGCCACTGTTATCCAAGGAGACAGCTTCCCATTACAAAAAGCCCAATAGGAGATGGGAAAATCTGCAGACAAGTGATTTGGAGTGTTTTCACTACACTTTTATTACAGCACACCCTGGTCCTCATAAACTTTCCCTCCTGTCATGGGAAAGCTGCTGTTCAAACAGCACTTGGTGATTCAGTTACCACTTTCAGTGAACACGTCACACTTTGAAATTTAATTACTTTTTTTTATTATTCAAGTGACATCTAGAAGTGTCAGCTGGATCACAACGTGCTGCAGACAAAAATACATCACGAACAAGACACGGACTAACAAAGAGAGCAATTTAAAGTAGATCTTTCCTCCCCCTCCCAAACTCTTCAGAAAACGAAGCGCAATTACATTAATAACATGCTGGGGAGGGGCAGGAAAATAAACCCACGGATCTTTCAACCCAGTCCGTTCCCTAGGATATGGATGCAATTCCTGCTCTCTCTCTCTGCAGACAGCTACAGCCTGGCTGCTCTGCAACACGACATCTCTTTGGAGGCTGAACTCTGCTCCCACGCGGGACAGCAGAGCCCCAGGACATCTCCCAGAGCTCCAAGGAGAAACTGGGATGAACAGAGGCTGAACAGCGCCGGAGCAGGAGCTGATAGCAGTGTTTGTCTTACCAAGTACGTAACGCGCCGTGTTTTCTTTTCGTGCCACATCATCAACTTCCTGCTAGTGCCAAACCTGCGGGTTTTACCCTGCCGAAGTCAGCAGGAGAGACACACAGAAGAAAAAACGCCAGAAAAATGGCGAGTAAGAGACATCTGCAGCATCTGCTCCTGCTGCCCACCCATACCACCCTCCTTTTCACTCCTCTCCTGGATCCAGTGCTAGAAAGAGAGCCTGGGATTCCTTAACCCTACGCTAAAAAGTGCAGAACTCATCAGACCCTCTTCCAGCTTTCCTGAACCTCGAGCTGAGGAATTTCTTAAATACCTCAAGTAACAGAAGCAAGTCTTGACACCAGGAGGTCCAGGTTTGCCTGCACTCCTGTGCTGCAGAGCTGTCTTTGTGGCACGTTCTGTTTTCCCAAACTATGTAGCACAAGTACCAGGGTATGGCGTAAAACTTGCTAACTCCCTCTTTTATGGGAACAAGGTCCCACCGATCCTTATAAAACAGCCGTCCTTTGAGTGGCACACGGATCCGCACATGCACCTCAACCCTTTGAGCCAGAAGAGACAAAAAGCTATTAATTATACGTATTTAATAGCTATGATGGATTACATCCTGTAACAGCTGAAGAGCAAGAAGCACGCCTTTCTAAGCGGTGCCGAGTGACTACTTTGATTTCCCAGTTTATCATCAGCACCGCACCATAAATAAATAAATAAGAGAAACTACCAAGCCCAGCACAGATCGAACATGTGGTATTCAATAACCACCTCATTCGGAAACCCTTCCTTTACCAAGCAAAGCAAGGTCAACCCGCTGAGCAAACTTTCTTCGGCTGTTCTCATGCAACGACTGGAGATTAGGATCTCTGCTCGGGATAAGAAGGGAAGGAACCATTTACAGGCAAAGACAGGAATCGTCAGCGACTTACCAGAAGTTAAACCGTGTCTACTGACCGCATCTCAACTTCTACCCAGCAAAATTAAACAAAACCCCAGCCCCAAGCTGTTACCAGAATCATGCAATTACCTAGAAAACCGAATTGTTTCTGTAGCACCGAGGCCCATCACCGGCAAGGGAGCCTCTATTTACACAGCTGGTCCGTGTAGGAGTCTCAGATGTCCTCTCAGCCCTCGTCCCCAAAGGTCTTTCAGGAAAAAGGCAGGCAGCCTCGTTTGGCTTCCCTGGTCTTTAAGAGGAGCTGGGCTGTTGCTGTTAATGTTCCCAGCCCCCTCTGACAGCCGCCTACTCCCGCTCTGCAGCAGCAGGCACGAGGAGCTCCCACCAGCGGCGTGATGATCTGAAGCACAACCCATTGTAGTTACCTTCCCAGAACCAACCTCAGCTACACAGTCAAGGTATTAATGCGTGCCTCAGCCCACACACACCACTTCTTCTCTACAGATTCCTGCAAGAACTAAAGGAAAGGTCAGTGCGTGATCTCCTGGATAACTCAGTTTCCTTTTCTTAAGGCACAGGGTGCCAGCCGGGACCTTCAGACGAACCAAGCTCAACACCACTTCCATCTACGTAAGAAAAAAACAACACATGAGAGAAGCCGTCAGAGATTTTACAGTCCAGAGCAATATGCAAAAAGCTTTTACACCATAAAAAAACCCGAACTATTTCTTAAAATCTCTTTTTCTTAACCATGATTTAAAAATAAATAAAATCAACTTCCTTTTAAAGAAGGAGCCTCTGAATTTTCTGCTGTGCTGAGTCCTCCTTTTTTTTTTTTTTTCTCTCTCTCTCCCTCCTGTGGAAAAACATCTGTCCTCATTCAGAAACGCGATTTAGTGCCTATAAACTTCAGGCCGAACTGACGTAAAAGCTCTAAACCCATTCTTTCAAGGAAGCCCACTCCAAGGGTGCTTATTCTGCCTGCTGTTGGGCTGCACGTTGAGTCATCCCTAAAGCCACTCACATTTGTTTCTGTTTTATCTATTTGCAGACACAACTCCTCAAAATGGGTTCTCTAATGCTTTTTTTTTTTTCCCTGTGCTCAGCCCAAACGGACAGAGCAAAGTAAATAGTTTCCTCCTGCATGTCTCCTTGCGCTTAAGTTTCGCTAATAGGCCGGAGTCATATGAATGCCTTGGGTTCTTCTGTTGATTTGTCTAGAGAGCTGAAGCCTCTGTCTGGAAAAAAAGCTGAAGTCTTACGTTAGCAATAAGAACAGGGTAGCACCATGACAAACACCACCAACAAAAAAATGAACTGGTCTGAGCCTGTTCACCCCCTGAGCACCATCAGGAACAGCTGCTTGCTCTTACAGGCAGTGCATCCATTTGACATCAGGGGCTTGTTAATATCCTGCTCCAAAAACCAGCCCCTTTGATCAGGTTGCATCCATGCAGCTCGTCAGTCCCATCAGCATCCCTGTGACTCCAAAAGCCTACCAAACTGCACGTAACGAGGTGCTACGCAGAGCCGTGTGTTTTTCGTAAGGATTACAAAGCAACATCTCCTGGCGGCAGGTCAGATCACCATCCCCGTGCTTTCCCAGGAGGTGTGTGCAGAGGTTATCCCAGCACCACCATCTGTCTGCCTGGGAGTTCGGCTCGCCTCTCTCCCCGTTCCCAAGATGGATTAAAAACAGAAGAGAAAAGCAACAGAAAGCAAAACACCAGTCGTCACTTTGAATACAAGTGACTGGGATTGGTCTTGCATCTCCGTCCTCCTCTCAACATCCAACCTGATGAAAGCCACAGCTCCAGCTTTCTTCTGCAGAGCCCATGCTGTTGGTGTTTGCAGCAGCACCTGGCAGCTAGGTTGGGAGCTCCACGTGAAGCACAGAGGATGCAGCCCTGTAAAAATACACTCGGGTGTCACCCTCACATATCGAGCTCTTTTCGAGGGGGTGGCACTTGGCAAAGGCACGACTTCTTCTCGCTTGGAAACTGAGGAAACGATACACAGAATTTCAGGCCATTTTCCAACCTTGGAGCGTGGCAGCGCCGTGTTTAGAAGATCTCCAGTGATGTGAAAGCGCCTATTTTTAAAACCTCACCCTTTGGCAGGCATGCCACAGCTCAGATTCGTGCACAGGAAGTGATACGAAGCGAAACCAGAACTGCAGGGCGCTGAGGAAGCCAGCAGGTCGCTCCAGCGCAAACACAGCAGGGACACGCAGCGCTCCGGGCTGCGCTCAGAACAACACCGGGAGAAGCTGGGGGGACATCCCTGTCACACAGCCCTAAGGGAAGCATCCAAGTCTGCAGAACGACAGGTGACTGAGTTCAATAAGACACACAGCTTCTCTGGTCAGCCTGATAAATGTTAGCCAAAAGCAGTCTCTGGGCAGCACAAGCAGCCTTGTCAGCCACACGGTGCAAGTGGCAGCTGCCCTTGCTGGTGGCACGGGGACAGGAGCTCGGGACACCCCTCCTCGCCTTGTCGGGAGCGTCCAGCACAAGCCATAGGGAAACCCCGAATGCTGGGCTCTGGATCCTGAGGCTGCCAGAACTAGACAGCATTGTCCTCAGCAGTGAAAAATGAGGAAGAAACCATAATGACAGAACAAGGCTACAAAGAAACTAGAAGTTGCTGAGAGAAAGTTTTTCAGAAAATTCAGGAAGTGCTCTCCTGCTGCTCTGGAGTACTGGGCAGTGTTTGCCCTTGCCGGATCCTTCTCGAGACAAGGACAGCAGCACCCCTGTCCCCACCTTTTCTCACACCGGGATGAAATCCCGACTTACTGCAGGTTTAGCTGACAGCTGACCCAGCCGTGAGTTACACCGTTCCTTGGAAAACAACCTCCCCTCACACCAAGCCACGCAACGCACAGACTAAACTCTGTCTAGCACCTCGGTACTGGCACGAGATCCCTAGCCACAAACAACCCCTCTTATGTCGCTGAGCCTGGTACACGCAAGTCCTGGGCTTTCCATCGGGAAACAATTATGTTTTAGCTAACGAGCAGCTCTCTCTCTGCAATTTTGGAAGGCGGCATGATGCAGTGTCTGCTCTCTGGTGTCCCAGCCACGCACCCAGCTCTGCCGTGCCGGGAATCCCAGCACCAGGGCACATGGGCCAAGTCCCCTGTTCCTCTGCCAGGCTCCTGACACGAAAGCTGCATCGGCCTGGGAGTGCAGGCAGGATGCTGCTGCACGTCTGCTGTGCTCCCAGAAATTCCCTCGCAGAAAAAAATGGATCCTTAAATGATGCAGGGTTAAACACCAGACAGCAACTCTGACGAGCATTTGACTTTAAGGAGCACTACAACTCTTTTAGAAGTCAGAATGGCTGAATAAAAACACAAATATAATAGGACTAACGGGGCCCCATGGTAATTTTAAAGAGTTTCCCAGCTTAAACTAAAAGGAACCTAAGAAGCTCCTTAAGACGAACTTTATGCTACCTAAATCACACTCACAAACTCAGTTATGTGGGTGTAATGACAGCAGCAAATCTGCACAACCTTTTGATACCAGAGCACTGGTTATTCCCTCGTGTTTTCACAACAGCTGAATTACAGCCATCCCCCTCTGCCCTAGCGTGATCTGGCACTGTGACTCCCACGGCTCAGCTGTGTGGGGCCAGGAAGCACGGGAGGGAGGTGTTTCTCAAATCTCTAACTCATTTGCCTGGGTAATCACGCAAGGTCAATCATTTTCAGACATTAAGCTCTGGGAAAATTGCAGGCTTTACCGAAAAAAACTGTTAATGTTTGTTATTATAGCCTCAGTAGATAGGAGCTGAGGATTTAACCTGGAAGCGGTATCTAAGAAACGGGGTGGACAGAAAGTCCTGATCCTGAGAGGGAAAGCCACACCACCTGGTCAGGCAGCTTGGTCCAAAAAGTAAAACAACATGACAAAACGTATATCCCAACAGGAAAAAACAGAACTATGAAAAAAAAAATAAATATATATATATATATATTTTAGAAGGTCAAACCTGAAAAGCACCTGTAATTTATATGCTGACCAGCATCTTGCTGCTTTTACCCTTGAAAAACAGTTCTAACACTTCACCCTTTATGTGAATTTATGTGATGCTTAAGCAACACTGTTAGTAGATCGTATAAATATGCAAACCAGCAGCTTTTCCTCATGGTGTCCCCTTTGATTCCTTACTAAGCTACGTGCCCAGCAGTAACAGCATGCAAGAACAAACTTGAGTGACGAGCCAACAGTTTCGTGAGTGTTAAAACCGAAGCGAATCGTTCTTTCCTGTGTCACACGCTTTTTACCTCTTTTGTTTCATCACTTGCAGAAACTGGAGCGGGTCAGAGGACGGAAGTGGGGATAACCGTGCTGCCACACGTTAGTTAGCAACAGGGCACTTGGCACCACGAAAGAGTAAAACTCACCCACTCAGTGCCCCCGAAAGCCGCTTCTTTCTCCACTTCAGAAAATGGAGGTGTAATAATTAAGTCCGCGGGGCTCCTTCAGGGAACAGATGGCTGGATCCTGTGGAAGGCGGCACAAAGCGAGGGCTGAAGCGGTACCCAGGAGGCTGAAAGGTGTCCCGGCACCTGCCGCCCACGGCATCACTCGACGGGGCTCCAGAGGACGCGGTGCCGAGAGCCACACGCCACGGGTCCGAAGGGCTGCATGCATCTTCCCACATGCTCCTTTCTGATCCCCTTTTCCCCAAACCCTCACCTGCCTGATGGGCACAGAAGCCAGCGGGCAGCGTTTGGGTTCAGATCCGGCACAGCAAAACCCAGACAAATGAGAAGAGCAAGAGCCAAATGCATGAAACCCGCAGGAGCCCACGGGTGCACCCATCACGGAGCGACACATACCGTCACAGCAGAGCCACCACAAGCCACACACACCTCGCAGGGACTCCCACGGGGTCCCCAAAACACACAGCCCCCACACAAGCAGACCCACTCCCACAGGCGGCGCTCCCTCAGGAGACCTGTCCCTGCCCCACAGCCACCTCCCCGCAGCGCTCCCGATCATCCCACTTTTCGCCTGAAAAACGGCCTCGCGGGAACCAAAACCACAACGACAATAATAAATAATAATGAAATAAGGAGAAGGAACCGCGCAATCCCCCCCACACAGGCCTCACCGCTCCCTGCCAGCGCCCGGAGCCCGGCTGGAGGCCGGCGGGTGGAGGCCATGGGGCGGTGGCCATGGGGCGGAGGCGGCACCGCCCCGGGCGGGCAGGGGGCGGGACGGGGGCGGGGGGACGTGGCCGGGTCCCCCCCTTCTCTGTCCCCCCCAAACTTGTGGGGTGGTTGTTTGGTGTTTTCTGTCAGCAACAGGACCCCCCCAAGGGAGGCCAAGTTCTGCCTGAGGTCAAACCATGATGTGTAAAGGCAGCTTGGTGACCTCAGAGTCATTTTGTGCTTTGTTTTTTTTTGCTTTTTTTTTTTTTTTTTCTACCATTAAAAATTCGTTTCCTCACTAATTCATTCATTAAGCAGGGTGGAGCGCCTTCGTCCCGAAAGAGCTTCCCTGCCAGATCCCTTCCCCTGCAGCAGTGCCTGGGCTGCAGCCCGCCCCATCCCCGGCTTGGGGTATTTGCATAGAGCAGAGCTATTCCTTTTCTGGTTACACATTAAAAAGCAGTTTTCTTTCATCTCCCCCGGGAACTTTGCAGGAGAAACAGAAGGGAATTGTAATGGGCTGAGCCAGTGACGCAGGCTTAAATCTTTCACAGAGTTATTAGCAGCTCGCTGCGGCCCGGGGCTGGGACAAGCTCACAGGGCTGCCTTCAGGAGCTTAGCGGGGCTGGGGACAAACCTGTCAAGTGCAAGCTCACAGAAAGCCACGAGAAGGATCACACAAGCAGAAGAAAATCTAAGTTTTAAAAGAAAAATAAAACAACAACAAAAAAATATGAACAGACAGTAAGTACTTGATTTCAAAGACACAAACCTGCCACTTGCACAGCACTCTGTGCTGCTCCATAGAAAAATCCTTCTCAGAAATAATAACAGTAAAATAATAAAAATAAAATAAAATAAAATAAAATAAAATATTCCTGAATGCCACCTCGGCACCCACAGGCTTCAGTCTCCCCCTCTGGCTCCAGCTCCAGGCGCTGCTCCCCCCCACGCTCAGCAGGCCGGTTTCAGTGCCGCTTCATGGTTTTGTGCTCCATCCAGGCCCAAATTTGTCCTCTTTCTGCCCATTCTGACTCGTGTTAGTGTCTTGGGATTTAATAGATGGCTTCCATGCGCAGCTGGGCGTGATAGTTAATGTTTATCTGGCTGCTGACTCACTGGGGAAGCGAGGTGAAACACACCTAGTGCTAAAGCTGCGGACCAAGGCCTGTGTCAGTGAGCCCTTCCCAGCTCCTCTCTGCCCTCCCCTCAGGGCATCTGTTCACCACGTCGGTGCAATCTGCAGAACAGCCTATGTCTCTCTGTGCTGCTACAAGGGCTCAGAAAGCTTGTGAACTTCCCCAAAACACCCTGGAGACCCATGCAGGGAGCTAGAGAAGGCCCCATTTAGAAAGTGTGCTCGAGTTTTTTCTGCAGAAGTAACGCCTCCCTGCGGAGCAGGCAGCAGCTCCATGGGGACAACGGGGAAGCTCCAGGAGCTCAAACTGAAAAGCTGAAAGCAGCCTGAGCCTGAGTCTCATCCTCCAACCTTTCTGCTTATGGCCCTTTGCACATATTCATGATGCTCAGGCACGGCTACGTGCCAGTGGCAAACCTCTACTGCTTCAGGATATTTATGATATTTCCTGCTTTTAGGGGAGTGTTATAAACTTGCCCATAACACGAACCTCACCTTGGTGCGTTTCTCCAGGTGATGGCATCTGCAAGCTGCAGCATGACTTGTGTTGACCTCCCTCTGCTTGTACCCACGTGGGACTCCAGAGCAAGCACAGCAAAAGCTTATACTGGAAGCCGCACTGAGGGAGTATGAAGACATTTTAGCTGTCTCTGCTTAAACTGACAAATCATCAGCAGAAGAAACTGCATATTCTGGTTCCTGTCTACAGATGAGTGGCAGGATTATAACCACAGCCCAAAGAACCTGAACAATTCAAAAAGAGTGCTGAAAATATTCACTGAGACAAAGGCAACGGTATCCAGCTCAGTAAAAGTGAAAAATCTAGGTACAGAGCTGATGAGAGCTTCAGCCTTCAGTTTTTCAAGTCCATTATTAACAGTCAGGAACAATTTCCCTGTATATTATAATTTACTACTACTACTCAGGTAGGTATAGTCCAACACAAAGGTAAAGGTAGCGCCCATGCAGCTATGATCTCCATCACAAAGGCTTCCTATGGTTGATCAGCAGCTTGGTGAGATGCCAAAATTAGAGGCACAGCTCAATGAACTTACCAACTGTTCTCTTCGAGTGGTTAATTCTGCTTCTTTTTTCTTGCTCAGCAAACTGGTCTCTGTTTTTGCTTGCAATCCTGTCATGTCGCCTCTGCATCTTCTCTCCGGAGTATCCTCCCAGCTGGGTTTCTCTCCCCAGCTTCTCGTGCTGGGGACAAAATGAGGCTTTACAGGCTGAGCTCGTCTTTACAGATCAACAAACGGTGAAAGGATCTGACTTCCTGTTTCATTTCCGTTCAAGTTTTCAAAGTCACCCAGGCTGTGTATGCTTCTCTATATCCAAGCCACAAGAAGAAAAAAAAAAAATTAAAAATCAAGCATAACTCAGCTATTTGTAAAGGTCAAGCTGTTACCTCTCTGTGCATCTTCCAAGTTGTCTGAGTGTTGGAGTGAACCTCAAACGGTGATGAACCACCCATGCATGGGCTGTATCTCAGTAGTAATCTTCAGAGAGTCTGTCTCGGTGCTGCCTCTTCCTTTCAACTCCTAGGTCATGTTTGATTACTACGTCTTTAACATACGCAGTCAAGGTACTTCTGTAGAAACACCGGGACTGTGAAGAGGTGCTCCACACAACCAACCCATCTCCCTTAAGATAGAGACCATGGGTAAAAGGTGGGGACCATGGATAAAAGTAAAGTTTACACAGATGATACGATTAATTCACACCATAGATACGGGGTTTTTAATAAGAGTAAGAAAAGAGTCCTTTGAGAGATTCTTTCCTATCCCCTTCTCACTTGTTTTAAGGTAAATGAGGCCAGTGGTTTCTCAACAGCCAAAGGCTACTAATTCTTTCTTAATTACACTGTAATTAAGTAATGTAGGAAGATATATTGCAATGCCGCAGCCTACAAGTTCACTAAATCCAGTCTTCTGCTCTGAAAATGCCCACAAGTTCCTATTTCAGACATGGAAGCAACCATTTGCTTTGCCAGATTGGTCGCCTGTTGGCTGTTGCACCACATTGCAGATGGATTTAAAAAAAAATGCTGGAATGTGTATGGTTACTGACTCACATTTTCCCTGTCACGGGAATGTTGATTTCCCTGCCTACATTTTTATTTTTTTTATTATGCTATTTTTGTTAAGTTAATTTTGAAAATGTGCCTCCATTAACATCCTTGGATCAGGAGCATTTGCTTAAAACAATAATGGATATTTGAGAAAGTGCAGTTGGGAAAGTGGGTTGTATATCTGTATGATATGCCCATATTTGTATGGATATAGGCAAGTATTTTATGGAAGGTGTTTTTTTTTTTGTTTTGTTTTTGTTTTTTGCTGTGTCCACCTTCCTAATTCGTTTTGCCTGGTAGGTTGTTTTGCCCCTGCCAGAAACAGTTGTGGATGGTTAGCACTGCTTACTCAGTCTCTTTTCTTCAATTTCCACATCCTTTATCCCATATAATGTACTTCTCAACCAAGCATGGCTGACTGGTTCACCTGGATAACTATTTATCAACTCTGTATGCTTTATCCAAGCAGGAGAAGCATGGATTCCCTCAGTTTCCTGCTGTCCTGGGGCATGAATATTTGCATGAGCTCTGCACATCTTCTATAGTCCTGGGAGCATCTTTGGAGCATGGTGAAAATACTGGGGATTCTGAACTGTATGATGCAGGGATCCAGGAACTTGGAGAAGTTTTGGAAAGTGAGATCATCTCTGCTCCAACAGGGGCAGGGGACAGGCAGAGCTCCAAAAGGAAGCAGAGGACAGACTAAGACCTTCAGCAGCCCTTCCTTGCAGGAAAGCCTCAGCTGAGTTTTGCAGCTGGACTAAGTTACATACAAACACACCAAAATAATAAAAAGCAGGATAAAATCCCTCCTCCACACACCCTGTGCTTTTTTTTTATTAGGATCATTGATAAGATTTATGCAGGGTCATGGTGAAAAGGGGGAGAATACCCCAAAGTGGAAGATGGCAAGCTCGGCGTGCCAGAGGCAGTGAGCACCTGGGCTAATACAACCCACAGGCTCGGAGTCGCTGTGTTTTGCTAAGTAGCCAGTGTTTGCATGCCTGCGTATTTGCACTCTTTATCATGTTCACAAGCTGACGAGGAAATTTCCTTTGTCCACCCCCGCACTTCTGTGGCTGGTGTTATCAGCGTGCCTCTCCTACCCGTGACATTCCCTTGTGGTTCTGCGAGATGCAGAAAGCGAGCTCAGCGTTTGACTTTGCCACAGCTCAACAGGCTCCTTGCCCTGCTCGCAAACAATAGGAAAGCTCTCGGTCCTCCACCAGCAGTTTGGAAACCCAAACGTGCTGTGTCAGAACATCACCCAGCTACCTGAATATTTTAAGCACCAATACTGTAGAGATGCAACGAACAGAGCTGTCCCAGAGTTGCAGGCAATTTCATCTCTACTACTGAGCTCCAAAGCCAGCTGCTTCCTTTCTTTCTGTCTCCTCCCTTCCTTTTGGAAGCTAACTAAGGTTCCAGAAACAAAAACCCCCAAACTCCAATTGTAGGTAGACATTTTTGTCCCATCATCACAAGTTCTCCCACCCTCTTCTCTGTTACCTGGAAGAAAATGACCCTGTTAGGAGCAATTATCTTCATCGTCAGCAACTTTCTGCCACAGGCAGGAGAGGACAGGGGCAGGAGAGGTGCTGTCCTGTGCAGGTGCACAAGAGGTGACTTAGTGGGATGAGGGGTTATCCTCTTCCTTCTGAAGACTATTAATGAACCTAGCATCAGTACCTGCTAATTTCTGGG